AATGGCCTACTGGGCAAAGAACTGCCCTTGCCTTGACAGCTGACAGTACAAATACAATGCTGTCCTTTCTGGACAAGCGGGGCACAAGAAAAGCAACCACTGTACTCTGCCAAGACAGGGTAAGATGGTCTCTCAGAATTGCTGCTTCTGAAAATGGTCTGTCAGATACTCTAGGCCTGTAGCCAATTTGCATGCACCAACAATGCTGAGAAATATTAGGTGACTGTCCAGGCTGCCAGCTGTCTTGGTCTACTCTTGCAAGATTCCCGAAAGTTGCTTGAATCCATCTACCATTTCTCAGGTACCATTATGATCCTTCTCAGGTCTTTGATGTGGTTAAAAACTAGATAGTTGTAATTTCCTCAGTAATGTCAAAAGATAAGTTAGATATAAAACCTTAAACTTACAAATATAAGATAGATAGGACATCTTCTTTAATATTGTAACTATAATTCTTGCTCGATAATTGTTTTGTTATATGTAATTTTACTATGTTAAAATTAAAACATTCCTTTTTAAAAAAAGAAGAAAAAGGGAATTGCTGTGGATATCACTCTATATAAATAAAACACTGATGGCTAGCGACCAGGCAGGAAGTATAGGCGGGACAAAGAGAGAGAAGAATTGGGGAAACAGAAAAAAGGAGGAGAGAGACTGCAGCCACTGCCAGGACAAGCAGCATGTAAAGATGCCGGTAAGCCACCAGCCATGTGGCAAGGTATAGATTTATAAAAATGGGTTAATTTAAGATATAAGAACAGTTAGCAAGAAGCCTGCCATGGCCATACAGTTTATAAGTAATTTAAGCGTCTGAGTGATTATTTTATACGTGGATTGTGGGACTGCAGGGCTTGGGGAACCTGGAGAGAAGCCCTCCAGCAACACCTATGCTTGAGATACCACCCAGTGTAAGAGCCCTTTCTCCTGTTCTGTGCAAGATGAAGGACTCTCAGCTTCTTCTCCAGCACTATGTCTGCCTACACGTAGTCCATGCTCCCCACCGTGGTGGTAATGGACTGTATCTCTGAAACAGTTAGTGAGCCACTCCAATGAAATATTTTCCTTTATAATAGTTGCCATGGTCATGGTGTCTTTATACAGAAATAGAAATCCTATCTAATATAATGCTTTTTTCTCTTTGCCTATGCCAAGGTGAATGAACCTATCTTTGCCTTTGAATGGTCTATCCCAGGTGGGTCCTACAAAGGACAATTGACCTGGAAATGGCTGCCACAAGGATTCTTGAATTCATCCACTTTATTTGATAAAGTCCCAGGAAAGACCTGCTCGGCTTTCAGGAGGAGGATACAGAGGCAACATTATTGCTCTATGTTGATAATCCACTTCTTGCAACAGATACCTTGGAAGAATATACACAAATCTCAAAGGCATTGCTGGAAGAGCTGAACCTAGGGTTATAAAGCCTCTTCCAAGAAGGCTGCAATCTATTTCGACACTGATACCTACCTCAGGTATAAAATACATGATGGTAAGTGCTTGCTTGGGACTGAACAAATCCAAGCCCTCCTAAATATCCTTCCACCTACTACCAGGTGAAAAATCTGGGAGTTCCTGGGCACTACCAGATATTATAGATGCTGAATCTTCGGGTTTGCAGTCATTGCTAAACTACTCTATGCAGCTGTTGGAGGTGAGGACTCTGAATTTACCTGAGGGGTGAAAGAATACTCAGTTGATAGAGCTGGGCAGAGAGAGGAAGTGATAAGGCAGGGTGCAGAGAGGAGCTCATTCTCTTGAGGCTGAGGATTTTGTAGAGGTAAGAACGTGGCTGACTTGTCCTGTTTCTGTGATCATTCAGCTTTCATCCCAGATATCTGGCTCTGGGTCATTTTTTTTTAATTAATAAGATTGTTTAGCAATTTGTGTTATACTCAGCATTTAAACAACTCAACGAAGCCCTGTCTGAGGCTCCCACTCTGACTCTACCAGATGTCTCCAAGCTCTACCAGTTGTTCATCCATGAGTTAAAATGGATTGCCAAGGGAGTTCTGACCAAAAATTTAGGGGCTTGGAGGAGACTAGTGACATATTTATCTAAGAGACTGGACACAGTTGCTTCAGCATGGCCTACTTGCTTAAGGCCCATACCCTCCACTGCAATGTCAGTCAAAGCAGCTTCAAAATTGACTCTGGGCCATGACATCCATCTTATCAGGTAACACTTGATGAAGACTTTGCTTCTCTTATCACCCAACCAATTGCTCCTCTCATCATCTGACCAGTTGGTGTCAAATACAATGATCATCCAGTATCAAGTATTATTGCTGGATCCTCCAACAAAAGCCCTGAACCTGGCTACTTTCCTTCCCAATAAGAGTTTGGGATCAGTCAAACACTACTGCCTTGAGAACATGGGTACCCTTACTGGGATGTGGGAGGACATCAATGATTGTCCTCTCACAAATGAAGATGCTAGATTATTTACAGATGGGAGTAGTTATATTGAAGATGGAGTTAGATGTGCTGGAGTTGTGATGGTAACACCAAATTGGGTAATATGGGCACAAGCTTTGGGACACTTGTCATTGGCCCAAAAATGTGAACTTATAGTTCTACCACAAGCCCTCCAATGGGCAAAAGGAAAAAATTATCAAAATTCTACTGATAGCTGCTATGCCTTTGCTGTGGGCTGATGGAGGGGTGTCTTTTTGTATGCTGTGAAAAGATGTTGCTCTGATTGGTTGATAAATAAAGCTGTTTGGCCAATGGTGAGGCAGAATAGGGTTAGGTGGGACATTCTAACTAGAGAGAAGGAAGCTGCAAGACAGAACAAAGAGGGTGCTGCCAGCAGCAGCCATGAGAAGCAAGATATAAAGATACCAGTAAGCCACAAGCCACATGGCTAAGTATAGATTTATAGAAATGGGTTAATTTAAGATGTAAGATCTAGCTAGTGAGAAGCCTGAGCCAATAGGCCATACAGTTTGTAATTAATATAAGCCTCTATGTGTTCATTTGGGTCTGAGTGGCTGCGGGACCACAAAGACATGGGAGCTGGGTGGGCACAGGAAAAAATTCAGTTACAGCGGGCCATGTTCTTGGGGTACTATATATAGAGAGAGGACTTTTAACATTAAACGGAAAGGACATTAAATTAAAGAGGAGATCCCGGCCCCACTAGAGGTGCTGTGGCTACCCAGTGCATTAGCAATTCTTTGTTGCCAATGACACCAAAGAGATGGTTCCTTTCAAACTAAAGATAATGATGTTGATGATTGCACTGCCCATAAGGTAGCATAAGAAGTCATAGAGCTACTAAAATTACTGCATGAACTAAGATTCCATTTCTTCCCTTTGAAACCCATTTGTAGACGAAAGGAGTTATAGTTAACAATAGGACTAAAAGCAAAGAAAGATGATCATGAATGGTTCTGGATGGAGGATGTAAGAACTGTCCTATCCCAGCAAGCAGAACTTGGAAGTCATGTCATTCTGGCTTTAGAGTCAAATATATATATGAAATCTTCAGCCATTATTAAAGAAAGTCAGCGGGACCAGACATGTTTCAGGGGTTTCCCTGAATGGAGGCCTAGAGAAGCTGTTATGTGAAGCTGTGGAGGTGAAGTCTGGATTGCCTTGGAGATGCCAAGATATTGGAGATGCCAGAGCTATGGGATGATACCTTCCAAGGAGAGTTGATAACAGGGGATGGAACCAGTCCAAGAGAAGAAAGAAGTATGTTGCTGTCAACAAAGCTGAAAAGAGATGGAGATATGAAGGGCATCTTGACATCAGACATGGAGATGCAGAGCTTGCCAGGCTCAGTTTTGGTCTTGCTTTAGTCCAGTATTTCCATACTATGGTCAGTTCCATACTGTTTAGAATGGTAATGTATATCATGTGACATTATATATTGGAATTATGTGATTTCCTTTTAAAAATTATGATTATATAGGGGGTTAGAGTTAGATTGCATGAAACAAAGAAGAGATTTTGAAGTAAATATTTTAAAATTTCTTTGAAACTGTTATAGACTACGGGAACTTTAAAAGTTAGACTAAACTAACTAATATAGATGGTATGTTTGAATACTTGGTCCTCACTTGGTGGAACGGTCTGAAAAGGATTAGGAGGTGTGGCCTTGTTGGGAAAGGTGTGTCACTGGGGAAAGGCTTTGAGGATTCTAAAGGTATTTCAGAGATCTCTGCTTCTCTTCTGTTGATCAAACTGTGAGCCTCCCAATTCTGTTCCATTCACCAATATCACAGCAATAGACAAGTAACTAAGACATATCCTTAGTATTTTGCACAATGAGGAGAACATGTCAGAGACTGAAGTTGGAATTTCTAAGGCTCTTAGAGAACAGAGCTGACTCTGTCAGTGATAATATGTAACCCAAAAGATCCAATGTGATCCATGATGGAAAACTGCGTGTGTGTGTGTGTGTGTGTGTGTGTGTGTGTGTGTGTGTGTGTGTGTGTGTTTCCTGGTAAGTTTATCTCATTTAATCTAATTTCTCATGAAGTTTTCCTAATGGGATCAGTTTATACAATTTTCATTGAAGAACAAATAAAAGCCATGGAGTAATAATCTGAATTAGCTAAAAGCAGAGCTGGGCAGATCTGAACCTGAAGTGCATAGTCTTTAGGGAGAGGAGGGGAGAGAAGGTTCCAGACCTGCTAGAAGTTATTATATAACAATCTTGGCTCCACCTTCCCCTGGTTTTCCCTTAAACATATATACCATAAACATTCTAATCAAGAAATCTGACCAGGGCTCTGCCTAGACTATTAGAAATCTCCGAAATGTTCGCGAAATTCCTTATCATGTGATTCCAGTGACCAAATCAGGGTCCTATCCGTCCTTGAAAGGTGTCATTTTGCATTTTGTTAATGGGAGACTGTGATTCCTATTTTAAAACAATACAAGAAAGACGTAATATTTTGATGATATTAGATTGTTTTAGAACATTCATTTAGAAAGAATTTCTATGGGACTGTAAGGAAAAAATGCAGCCTAGACACCAGAGAGGATCATGTCTACATAATCTCCTTGGCTGAATCTGTTTTCTGTGTGCTGTGCGCCCCCTGGTGGCCCTGAGAAGCCTCACAGTGAGGTTTATGTCTGGGTTCACATTGAGGTCTCCTCACTGTGCGTTTTGTACAGTAATAAGTAGCAGTGTCCTCAGATCTCACACTGTTCATTTGCAGGTGCAGAGTTTGTTTGGCATTGTCTCTTGAGATAGTTAATCGATCTTTCAAGGATGATACATAGTCTGTGGTACCACCATTTGGTGAAATTCGTCCAATCCATTCCAGTCCCTTCCCTGGAGCCTGTCGGACCCAGTACATCCAGTAGTCACTGAAAGTGAATCCAGAGGCTGCACATGAGAGCCTCAGGGCTGCCCCAGGCTGCAGCAGTCCACCCCCTGTCTCCACAAGCTGCACCTCACATTGAACACCTGTAAAAACAGAGAATCCTGTTAGTAAATTGCCACAAGTGCTCACTATCTATCCTGCTCATGCCCACCCACACACTGTATCTATTCTTCTCCATGAATTACCTTCTAAAAGAGCAACAATGAAAACCCAAATCACTCTCAAACCCATGGCGAGAGTTCTGTGTTCAGGGTTGATCACTGAATGGGAAGACCTGGGAATCCAGGGCTGATCTTTGCTTGAGCTTCAGCATTAATGCTGTGCTGGTTTTCTTGAGAAGAGAGAGGCCTTATTTGCATGTCTTCCTGCTATATAACAAGCTCTGTAGTTGGATCTTAGAGATGACATATTCTAGTTTGTAAACGTGCTGGGGGAATCTTGTAAAAAATATAATGGTTGGAAAATTTTGTATTTTAAGTTAATTTTTCTTGGTACACACTAAGTATCAAGGAAATTCAACCCTAATCTCCATATTCTGCATTATAGAGTGCAGTAGAGATTGCTTTGTTATATTCTCTGGAGGTCCTCTCTTTTGCTATATAGGCTTCAGCCCTAATGGACATATCAATCCCAAGTGCAGCTGCCTCCTAAGGTTGGAAACTCCCTTTCTGTATTGAGACCATGCCACATGCCTGCATTCCATTATTCAGCTAGGAAACTGGAAATCTTGTCCATACAAGTGTGTGCCCAAAAGTGTGAAATTATTCTGTTATTATCCAATTCAGTTCTTGTTTCACTGCACAATTCCCTCTTTGTTCAGTAGAAATGGGGAGTGACTGACACTAGAACTTCAGTGTATATCTCAGCATTTGACTTCTACACGTCCTTCACATGTATGAGCACAGGCCTTCCAGAAGTATGGCCTCATTCCCAATACTCTTTCCCTTGGCCTTTCTTACTCAATCTACTTAGTACGATATCCCAGGCAGTTACTTCTCCTGATCTCATCTGGAATGCCTAAGCTGGTTTTCACTTTATAAAGGTTATGATTACTGTTATTAAGGGTGGACTTCTGTCTGACTTCCCACTCAACACAATTCATCATAAATGACACCAGGCTGCACTATTTCCAGTCTTCACTGCTTCTATGGTGACTTACAGGCTGACAGGACAATAGAACAAAGAGGTTTTTCTGTTAATTTAGTGATTCAAATTGAAAGGGCTCCAGTTTCCAGCACTGCAGATAAACCAGCTGAGCTATGGGATGTCACTGGAGAACAGTTTGTTTTTCACTCTTTAGCAACATGAGCAAAGCAGATCACATGGGGGTCTGCTCGTCTGATTTTTCACAGGACAGAAGCTTAGGAGTGATGGTGATATTGGGAAGTTGCAATTTACACAGTTCAGAAACTCAGATCAAGTTTGAAATGGTGCAGCATAAAGTGGCCGAACCTGTTAGAAGCAAATTGTGCTGCAAGAAAGATTCGAAGGGAAGAATCAGGATGATTTCATCCACAGAGGGTGGCATTGTTCACCGTTAGCATGTGGTCACCTGCAATGAAGAATAGAAAACTTAAAATGTAATTTAAAAAAAACGGAAAAAAAGAGAGAAGAGACATGAGAGCATAGAGGCAACATGGGAAGTCAGAGTTGCTACATTGCGGACTCCAAAATCTAAATGAGAATAACAGAGGTTACACGAACATTCCAGCAATAAACATCTGAAAAGGAATCAACTTGATGACTTGATGATACGCACCTAACTTCTCCTCTAAAAATCTAAGAAAAGACAAAGCAGATGTCTCTCTCTGTCTCTGTCGTCTCTCTCTTTCTCTCTGTCTCTGTCTCTGTCTCTCTCTCTCTCACACACACACACACAAACACACACACACATCTATATATATATACAAGTAACCCTTTATCCCTTAAAATTGAGGAGATTCTCAGCCCTGAAGGTCCCCTTGGGTAGACTTATGATGCTCTCTTGACAGAAAACAGGAAAATTTTCACAGTAATTGACAGTGAGATCAAACAGACCAACAGGTAACAAGAGCATATCATGAATCTTCAGAATGTGGGATAAAGTTCAGTGTCCTTGAACAATCCTATTTCAGAGACTCAGGGATTTAGCACCAGAACCTTCATTTCTAAGCACATGCTCGAGGAAGGTGATCATGACATGTTGGATCTGATCAGAATCTTTTCTTTTTTCTTTTTGTTTTTCGAGACAGGAGTTCTCTGTGAAGCTTTGTGCCTTTCCTAGATCTTGCTCTGTAGACCAGGCTGGACTCGAACTCACAAAGATCCACCTGGCTCTGCCTCCCGAGTGCTGGGATTAAAGGTGTGAGCCACCACCGCCCGGCTCCTGATCAGAATCTCAAGAAAAACCTTGACACAAGGAGGTACGTTAATGTCTTCGTATGTGTAATTGTTTTTTTTTCTCTCCAGTATTTGATAGCTATTTGAGTTGTTTTAACTTTTTTACTATTAGCAACACACTGCTATAAACTTTCATGTACATGTTTGTTTCATAGGTGCACATTTTCAGTAGTTTGAGGATATATTCCTAAGGGTAGAATTGTTGAGTAACAGAGTAACAATGTTTTGCATTTTGACCAACCACCAAACTGT